CTTTTGACAGTCTCCATGTAGTCTACCATCATCGCCGACTAATCATATCAATTTTTTTTTATTTTCATTTTTATTTTTTGCCCTGATTGATGTGCACCACAAAGGCTTGAGTGCACCTCTTTGACAATGTCTTGAGCTTTAGATTTGCTTAGACACCATATCCACAATCGATCAAAAGACCTACGATAGAGGGTGTTGTTCACTAGAGCGTAGGACAATGCTCGTAGCTTGATTTGATTTGTAGTAGAATTGTCTTCAGGTAGCACCCCAGTCAACAAATGTTCAATGATCGACTATCGCTAATCTTCTTTTTCTTCTTTGTTGGTAGTTGTTGCAGTCACGTCAACACCGATCTTGTGAAGCCTGTCCATGTTTATTTGAGAGAGGACCTACCGCCCTTATACTAAAATTGGAACATCGTCCTCTTCTAGGTAGGCCAACTCCTCCATAAGCTTTGTCAAAGTGTCTGCCAATGAGTTCTCTCACCTCGTAACTCTAAAAAAGTGCAACGCTTGAGATTTGCTCTAACATCTTCATCGTGTAGCAGTAGTACTGCTCAATCCTTGGTTTTAGAGTCTTGCACTTTCTAGCAACCTAGTTAATGATAAGTTGAGAGTCCCTATAGATTTTAATTTCTCTGATTTCAATTATGGTTGTGACCTCCAAGCTGGTTATGAGCACTTTTTATTCAACTTCATTATTTGTACATGGTTCTGTCAAGTGGTAAGAGAATTACATTATATCTCATTATGGAGTGATAAAAACCAGTCATACCCTTCCTTTGCCGGGTACAATTGTCTGCGTGCCCTTGTCTTTATAAATAGATGCAGCTCCGTTAAAGTATAGTTCCTAATGGTGAGTGCAAGAACCTTTGCGCTATAAGATCTGTTTGTCGAGCAGGTCTTCATTGAGAGGGGACCCTGCTGGTAGTGGAAGTGCTGCCAGGAAGTCTGCTAGTATCAGTTCTATGACGACACGTAAGGGCATAAAAGTTGTGTCAAACTGGAGTAGTATCATTACCCACCTACTAATCTTCCAAAGAGAGTTGGTCGAGTCATTAGCTACTGCAGAGTTTTGACTCTCTAGATGAGAGTCACCTTATGAGAGAGCATGTATTGCCTTAACTTCTAAACAGTGAAGATCAAAGCTAAACAATGCTTCTCAATTGCAGGATACCTAATTACAGTAGGAACTAAAATACAACTTAGGGAGTACAACACATTTTTCTTACCCTCATCATTGACTTGGGATAGCAAGGCTTTAAGAGAGTAGTCTAAAGTCGCGTTGTAAAGGATCAGAGGCCTTCCCGAGATAGTAGCTGCTAGAGCAGGAGGCGTTGTTAAATTTTGTTTGATGCTTTCAAAAGCGTGTTGGCATTTTCCATCCCATAGGAATTTCACATCCTTCCTTGTTAAGGAGGTGTGTGGTTGACACCTACCTGAGAAGTTAAAGCAAAAACGCTTTATGTATGCCAATTTTCCTTGGAAAGATTGAAGTTGGGTCAAATTCTTCAGAGGGGCATATTTAAGATCACTTCAATCTTAAGGGGGTCAATTTTGATCCCATGTTAGCAAACAATAAATTCTAAGAACTTTCCGGAGGTGACACCAAAGACACATTTAAAGGGATTCATCTTTAGATTAAACTGTCGCAATAGTTTGAAGACAATTCTCAAATCGTACCTTTGGTCCTTTTGTCTGCTCTTGACGATTTAGTCATCCACATAGCACTCGATTGGATTGTGGATGAGTTCATCAAAGATCCGTGTTATAGCTCGCTGGTATGTCACACCAGTATTTTCAAGTATAAAGGGCATTATCCTTTAGCAGTAAACCCCAATGGGTGTTTGAAAGGTTGTGTTTGATTTATCTTCGAGAGATAACTTAATTTGGTTGTAGCATAATGATCCGTCCATAAATAAGAAAGTTGTGTGTACTGACACAATATCGCTCACCAACTTTGAGATCGGTAAGAGGAATTTATCTTTTGGATATGCATTATTCCTGTCTATGAAGTTATCGTAGATCTGAATTTAGCCATTTTTCTTTTTCACAGGCATTATTTTGGTGAGCCAAGTTGCATATCTTTCTTCTTAGATGAAGCCAACATTGATTAATCATTTTACCTCAACTACGACTTGCTGTTCTATTTTCATGCACATTCTTCTTAGATTTTCTTTTACTGGGATTGTAATTTGGTCTATCCCACGTCTATGGACCGCCACCTCTGGGGCAAGTCCGGACATTTCATCATAGCTCCAAGCGAAACAATCTTTAAACTCTTTTAGCAATTGTGTTATCTCTTTTGATTTAATTTTTTTAAGTAGTGAGCTGATGATTGCTGGTCTTGGGTCTTCCTTGGTCCCCAAATTAACTTCTCTTAGCTTGTCTACCGTCGATTTGGTTTCTTCTTTGAATTATGTTGGTGCATCTACAATTGAAGGCTCTTCAAAATCATCGCGTGCTTCTACACACTCAAAATTGGGTTCTTCGGTGACAACAAGAAAAAATTATATGTCATCCAGACGTCCTAGTGTATCGAATCCAACACCTTCTTTTGAGTTGGGGTTTCATTGTTGGAATTCCGTAGTTGTTCAAAGAGGTGGGACCTGTCTATTAATCATTGTTTCAGTATGAAACCACGTTGAACAAGCTTTAAAACATACAAATAATAACACTCAATAAGAAGTTCTATTAATTTTAAGAAATTTTCTTCTTGTAGTTTTACATCTTTTCAGAATTAGAAGAAGAAAAATCAAGGTGGAACTTAATGAATTTCATACCTTCACTATATACTTTTTTTATCACAAACTCTCAATTTTATTTGAAGAGATCGGAGTTAGGTTCATAGCTTATACATAGTAATTGATCCTTTCATACATGAACTCACATTCTTTCCTTTCTTCTTCATCTTAAATGGATATTTTGAACCATGGTTCCTTTCAGATAAGCACCATTGTTGTCTTTTTCTCTTTTTCTTCCTCGAAATTGGGGTCCAGACTGATGTTGATCTTCAAGAGTTTCTTCATTTCAACAGTTGGGTTTTCTCTCCCTCTTTCTCTTCCGCATCCTCAACCTCGGATGTGAGTTTTATGGGAGTCTCCACCCTTTGATGCTAGTTTTGTAGGGGTCAAAGAGCAATCCAAATAACATAATAAATTATCTCAAGCTCTCTACTCTCAAGAAAATAAATCATAGTGTTTCTCTCATGTCATCCCTCTCTTTGATCTTCATCTTTATATTTTTCATAGTCAATTTTACAAATATAGTCTTAGTGACACCGACAAACCATATCTAATTTAACTTTCTCTAAGATGTAGTTAATCCAGCTTAACGCCAAAGAGATGAATACTAGCTTTACAAACATAGATTTGTGGAGTAACTAATAAAAATTGGTGAAGGTTCTAATTCCCAGGGATTCAGCCCCAAGCTTACAGAAGTTATCCATAAAAAATAATTGTGGAGAGAAGTCTCCCAAGCCGAAGACACACCTCATGAAGTCATTCCTTAATGTGAACTCTTTCCTCTCTTACAAAATTTTTTTTTCTTTTTTATCTTAAAAAAATCAAATTTAAATTTGTGTTTATTTTCAATTTTCTATTCTTAATTAATTTTAAGCATGAATTATTTTTCTTATATTTTCTTATAGACAACAATTCACTTTTATTCATTATGCAAAATTTACCTAAGCAACAAGGGGCTCTTTTAATGGGTATATAAGTCATCAAAAGGCTTACTAGTTTAGTGAAACACTTTTAGGATTTTTTCCTTGAAAACTATTATAACATTTTCAATTAAATGAATCTTAATCTAAACCAAAATTTTTCTTTGAGTAATCCCAAAAAACGTCGTTCACTATTAGTAGCAAAAGTTATTGTCCCCCCAAATTGCTTGCCGAGGGGTTTTGGCTTATATCTTACTAAATAGATCAATCAAACTATATTTTAGAAGTTTTTATATAAAGACCAAATATTTTTCAAATGACTGAAAAAAATATTCTAATATTGGGCCCCGTTCACGACAGCTTATTTGGCGCGGTGGAGTTTTGAAAATGCACCAGACCTATTTGGGTAAACTATATTTTGGCAGTTTATGCGTTTTCAAAACGCTGAAAAGAGCGTTTTCACACTGCACCTATTTAGTTACGGTTTGTCTTTTTTAAAAAATAAAAAATTATAATAATCACCATACCTAACTTATTAGCAGATTATTTTTGAACAGCTCATGCATTTTTCTTCTGGCTTTCCCTTATTTATACCCAGTCGAATCCTTTAAGCTTCTAAAAACAGTCCTAAACAAATTCAAAAAAAAAAAAAAAACTACTAATAACACAATGCATTAAAACTTGTATCTAATTTTGTTGACATTTCAAAAGCGTAAAACTTCTGTGTCATAATACTGCTATGTCATGCACTTTTAATCTCTAAAATTTTAATTTATTTCGAACTAGCCATTAGTTTTTTTTCTAATTCAATTACTTGCCAATTTAATCATTTCTTGGCTTTCAATAATAGCAAAATCTTATTTTAAGAAAAAGTTACTTTTAATTTTATTCAATAACACTTAATTCTTGCCTATTTAAGTATCTAACACCTAAACTTTAATATATATATATCATTTTTTTAATACATTAAATATTCTCTTTATAAAGGCTGAATAGTGATATGTTTTATGATATAAAAGTGTTAGAGGGTATAAATTTAAAAATAGAGTATGGTGTTAGATACATAAATACATACAAATTGTATGTGGTGTGTGTCTATATATATATATATATATAGTCGTGTATTCAAATTATTTGATTAAATATCTGCTTGTCAGTTGTAAGTTTCCTCTGGTCTGGGGTTTGATTCCCTCAAAGTGTAGGATGCGACACTCAAATTCTTAAAGCAAGAGCTTGAATAATAGCCTTTAGCCGTATATATATTTTCTTAAATTAAAATAAACACACACATATATACATATGCCTTCTGTTTTTAGTTTCTATTGCGTCAGGTCACATTTTGTTTGAAATTGTTTAATATTTAGATTGCACCACTATTTTTCTCGACTCAAGCTGCAGCTATTTCTTTCCCCTTGCTCCATGCCGACTTCAGAGGAGCCATGGCGCATCCCAGAGTCCTCCAATTCGCCAATCTTCTCCAACCTTGCATCAAGAACAAAGCCTTGCTCTCTGGTAAAGCCATCCACGCTCAAATATTCGCCTGTGGCTTCTCTCTCGACACCTTCCTCTCGAACCGCCTTGTGGAGCTCTACTCCCAGTGCAATCAATTCGACTACGCCCTCAATTCCTTCTATTCAATTCTCAATCCAAACATCTTCTCCTGGAATGCCATCCTGTCCTCTGCTTCCAAATCTGGGAACATTGATTTAGCGCAGCAGCTGTTTGATCAAATGCCTGAGAAAAATGTGGTCTCCTGGAACACCATGATCAGTGTTCTGGCACGAAGAGGACCAGAAGAAAAAGCCTTGAACTTGCACCATGAAATGATTCAGCAAGGATTAATGCCGACCCATTTCACTTTCGCAAGTGTCCTCAGTGCGTGTGCGAGCTTGATGGATTTGGTTGGCGGTACGAAATGCCATGGCGTCATTGTCAAGGTGGGTCTTGATTCTCATTTATTTGTAGAGAACGCTCTTCTTTCTTTGTATACCAAATGTGGGATTCTTGATGACGCAGTGAGGCTCTTTGATGGCATGGCTCGACCCAATGAGGTGTCGTTTACTGCTATAATTGGTGGTTTGGTGCAAAGCGGTTGTATTGCAGAAGCTTTAAGATTGTTTGCGAGAATGCATAAAAATGGTGTTTTGATAGACCAGGTTGCAGTTTCTAGTGTTCTTGGTGCTTGCGCTAGAACTGAAGATGAATCATATTGCCTTGATGAGCTATCTTTTAGTTATAGTGTCGGTCAGGCAATACACGCCATTGTTTTAAAACATGGCTTTGAATCAGAATCACATGTTGGTAACTCGCTGATGGACATGTATGCAAAGCATGGAGACATGGAGAAAGCTGACTTTATTTTCAAGACATTGCCCGCAATCAATGTTGTTTCATGGAATGTTATAATTGCTGGATATGGAAAGAATGGTGATGCTGATAGGGCTGTTGATATGTGGAAGCTGATGCAGGAATCTCAATTCGAACCAGATGAGGTTACTTATATCAGTATGCTGAGTGCTTGTGTGAAGTCTGGAGACACTGAAACTGCTAGGAAAATGTTTGATAAGATAAAATCTCCTAGTGTGGCATCATACAATGCCATACTTTCTGGTTACTGTCAAAATGAGGATCACCAGGAAGCAATAGAGTTGTTTAGGGAAATGAAGTTTTCAAACTTAGAACCAAATCGAACGACATTGGCAATCATTCTGAGCTCATGCTCTGGAATGGGAGTTTTTGAGCTTGGCAAACAGGTCCATGGTGCTGCTATGAGGGTGATACTCCATGAAGACATGTTTGTCTCTAGCGGGCTTGTTGATATGTATTCAAAGTGTGGTGATATTGAGGCAGCTAGGAAAGTTTTTGATAGGATGAAAGACAGGGATGTTGTCAGTTGGAATTCAATGATTACAGGTTTTGCTCACCATTCTCTAAATAGGGAAGCTTTTTCCTTCTTTAAAATGATGAGAGAAGATGGTTTGTCTCCAACCGAGTCCTCTTATGCAAGTACAATCAATTCATGTGCCAGATTGTGCTCCTTACCGCAGGGAAGACAGGCACATGCCCAGGTAATAAAGGATGGGCATGATTGTGACTTTTATGTTGGCAGTTCTATTATCGATATGTATGGCAAATGTGGCGTAGTAACTGAGGCACGCCTTTTTTTCGACGGAATGCCATCGAAGAACATTGTTTCATGGAACGAAATGATACATGGATATGCACAAAATGGTTATGGAGAGGAAGCCATTGAGCTCTTTGAATACATGCTAGACACCAAAGAGAAGCCTGATTCTGTGACTTTTGTTGCTGTTCTGACTGCTTGTAGCCATTCAGGGTTTGTTGACAAGGGAATAAGATTCTTCAACTCCATGAAAGTTGAGTATGACATTGAGCCATTGGCTGATCACTATACTTGTATTTTGGATACTTTGGGGCGTGCTGGCTGCCTGAGAGACACAAAGTTACTATTAGACAAAATGCCTTATAAAGATGATCCCATAGTATGGGAGGTTGTGCTTAGTGCCTGTGTAGTTCATGGAGATGCCAGCTTAGGCAGGAGAGCAGCCGAAGAACTCTTCAGGATTGACCCGAAGAATTCTGCACCGTATGTGCTGCTAGCTAATATGTATGCCTCTGCAGGCAAATGGGCTCATGCAGCTGCTGTGAGAAAATTAATGAGTGATAGAGGAGTGGTAAAAGATAGAGGGTATAGCTGGATTAATAATAAGAATGGTGTCCAGGCATTCATGGTGGATGATTGTCTGGATTTGGTGGGTGGCAATGGAAGAAAATTAAATGGTGATGCTCCCTCTCATGAAATTTGTGCTGCTTGATGCAGCAAAAATGAGGATTCAAGGAGAAGAATGTCTTTACTTTTTAGCAAGTATGCGACGGTTATACATTAATCAGAATGTATCAGTAGCTCGTCCATCCAGGACACCTTCATGAGCTAGGTCATTTTGGACATGTTGGCTGCCTCAGGAACTAATCAATTGGTGCATGGCTGCTCATGCATAATTAAGGATTGTACAGATTTGATAGATGGCGATGGTGGAAAACAAAATATTAAATGTCATTCACGCGTTGGACTGATTATTTATTCTTTCCAGCCTTTGATGATAAATATGCAAGACTATCAAATTTAGTGTCAAGCTATCGAGGAAACCTGAAATTTCAGATTCAATGGGATTAAATTTGAAGATTGATTTCTTTTTGGATCAACAAACTAAATTTGAGGTAAAATTTATAGGACAGTACTATTTTATCAAAACTACAACTTTGTTTCAGATTTTTCTCTTGGAGATATGCTTAAATTCAAATGGCTTTTTTCCCCTGCAATATATTCCAGTGAGTTGTCATAAGTTTCAACTAGTTTGGAGGAACAGGTTCCTGAGTTGGACGTGCAGTGTTGGAAGGTTTTTCTAATGCATATTTATTTCTTGGACTAAAAGATGTTTAAGGTTTGTGTTAACCAAGATAATGTATGATGGCTTGAAAATGCACTGTATTTTATCAAGGATGCTACATTTTTTATATACTCATGGCTCAACAATAAATGTGTTCAAATATCAATCTATTATGTTTGTTTCATCCTATTTCATGTTCTCAAACTCACTTCTTTGTTTTGCTATTATTTACTTCCGCATTGCAAAATGTTTTATTACATTTTTTTTTTTCTCCATTTGATGGTATCTATGTTTTCATCATCTTCAATCGTATCATTCTCCTTCTATTTTCATTTATGTTAAGTTCTATATGAGATTTAAATTGATTTTTCAATTTTTTATCACAAGTTTTAATTACATTGTCTGCGACCTATCCTTTTTTTCATAATATTTTCACATTAATTTTATCCTTTCTTTTATTAGATTATTCTATGTTGCTTTTGTGTCCGTAAAAAAAATATTTTAAGTCTAATTTTTTACTTTTTTATATTTTATAGATGATACTCCCACCCTTTGTTTGATAAAATCATTTTTTTCTCTTGTTGCATGGCATCAAACAACCTTGGGTCAATCAAGATTCTTGAAAGATGCCATCTTTAGCACAACTTCAATTCTCACACACATTCCAAAATTGGTGAGCTGACTCCGAGGACTTGTCCTCAAGGAATACACTTTAATTCTTGCGTCAATATATGAGCTTGAAAACAAGGGAAAAAAATGCAAGCTACCTTCAAGAGCTTCCATTGGAGAGTGAAATGAGGTATGTTGTGGTAAAAGGTAATTGAGTACTTTCAATGAGCATATAATGGATGAATTCATTACCTCATCTTTGAGACCTATGTTGGACCAAAATGCCCCTAAATTTATGGTGTTTTGGTATGATAAATCGATTTAAAGGTGACAAAGCCACGCGATCCCTAGGATACATGTAGAACCATCATACATGGATTAGTCTCACACATTTAGACTCAACCCTAAATAGTGACTTCACCAGTGACCTACACTGAATAATTTCTCTTGCTTCATTAGTTGAGTGTGCATTCCAACAACTATTCTTTTTATTATTATCTTGATCTAAATCATCAACAATTTCAGTTCCAAACTTTGAAGTTTGATTGAGTTCCATTAGAAAATCAAGTGTTCATTTGTTGTGTGTTGTCAAGCAGTTGAATTAATCAGAGACCGAGTTGTCAATTTTGTAAGTGACTTTATACTTTCTTAGGAGCAAATTTCTCAAATATAGTGATTTTTATGCTTTAAGATCTTGCGAGTCATTGTTTCCGTTTGGACTATTTCTTTGAGTATGCTTAGTCACAAAACTTTTACTTCAATTATTTTCTTTCCATGTTTTCTGTGATCGCAGAGATTTCTCTTACTAAATAATTGATCATGACTCAAAATTGATTTTTTTTTATTTCATTAAAATAAATTATACATATTTTAGAGAGACACTATCCTTTCATGGATAAAAAATTTTCAGATCTCCACTCCAACTCTTTGTTACGCTTTTTCTGGTATAAGTTTAAAGTTAGTAGATGCCATGATTGATTCTTTAATGAGGCATGAACATTCATGTGATTTCAAGTCGGCCGAGTACCAATTTTTGCGGTGGTGTTAGACTTGTAAAGAATGAGATCATTAAATGGAAATATGTTCTCTTGAACATTGACATCATAGTATTTTACAATTTGCTTCTTATTTTCAAAGGAACCTTGAATTTGAAGTTCATCAAGAAGGTTTAGATGAACATCGAGTTTTTCTTCATTGGAGTTTCTTCACTTGTCAAGTTCTCTTTCTTTAAAATTTGATGCAGTAATAAATCCTTAGCTATGCAAGTTATATTTTACTAGCAAGAGAGCTTCCAACTCATGAGAGAGAATGGAGGTTATTAGATCCATCACTGAAGATGTGTAGTGCCCAAAGCCTAAAGAATGTATGTTAGCCTTTTTTATCCACTTGATTTTCAATTTTATTTCAGATGAGATAATGAATAGGCTTGTTAGTTGCTTTCACTTATCCATTAGTTTTTGGTTGATATATTGAAATGAACTTTAAGCAAATGCCTTGGTTTTACATAACTTTCATTAAGGGTAAGTTATATCGGTATATTATAAAGTCTTTTACCGAAAGGATGCTGCATTATATAAAGATTAAGCACCAATCAATTTGGTTAAATGGTTAATCCTGACAATGATGAAATTTTTTTTATTGCCTATTGGGACAATGGTTGAGCAAGTTGATTTCTCAAATAGTGAATCACTAATAGCTGAAGAGTGGTTGAAGATATAGAGGAGCAACATTATAATATTAAGGGTCTGTTTGGGACAGCTGCAGCTTTTCAGCTTTTCAGCTGCAGCTGCGTTGTCCCGGAAAGCTGCTGCGGGGAAGTTGACTGACTGTTTGTTGCAGCTGTGTGAAAACAGTTGTGGGGCAACTGTTTCTAGAAAAAAAATCAATTTGCTCCCGTTTACTAAAGCTGTTTAAAACAGAACTGTGACAGTCGTATATTTGATACTTCAAAAGCAGAAATTCATTTTAAAACAGAACAAAAGTTTAGATACATAACTCACTTAACATTGAGCATCGAAAGTGCTAAAGATTTTTGTTTGGAATATTTACACATATGCCACACATTGTTATGTATTTACATATCTAACACAAACTTTAATATTTTGGAAAATTTACGTAATATTTCGTACGTCATATGAAAGAATTGGGTTGCATAAATGTAATAAAGAAAAATTTAAGTGTTAGATATATAAATATATGGAATTAATTATGGTTTTAAAAATGTAAAAATATGAAAAATGACTTATTGTTAGTATTAATCATATATGTAAATTTCCCAAATATTTAAATTTATATGTCAGATATATAAAAACATCGGTTTGTTTGGCATGTGTAAATCTCCCAAACAAAAGTTTCCCACACTTTTGGCCATTATCACATCCACTTACGCTTAAAATTTACCTCCCCCATCTCTCCTTATCTTATGGTTTCTCTCTTGCATTTGTCAATTTATTTTTTAATTATATTTTGATTCTCCTTTATATTCTCCTGAAAAAAAAAGATTACCAACTCGTCATATTAACGAGAGATTATTGCGTACAGACACTGCATGCGGTGTCCGATCCTGACCGTAGATCACAGTGATTTACGGTCAGGATTATTTCCATTTTTAAAATAATAAAAAAAAATTAGGTGGGGCCTATCGAAATACATCGGGACCGTAGATCATGTGATTTACGGTCCAGACACCGCACGCAAGCTGCGTGCGCTGTCCAATCCGTATGGAATAATTTTTCCATATTAACGGCGAATTTGAAGCTAACGGGATAAAGTTGCCGCTGATGAGGTAAATTTTTCGACTTTAAAAATTTAACCTTAAAAATATTTAAATATTTTACTTGACTTAAGTGAGTTTCATGTTTTATAGATTGATCTAAAATCACATGTAAAAAAAAATTGTTATAAAATTCAATAAAATTTACATGTTATTATATCAAAATGAGCACATAAATTAATCATATTAAGTAATAATCATAAATGTAGTTTCTTATTAGTATGTGAATATATAATTTTAATTTGTGCATAAATAACTATTTTTATCGTACAAGTTTATTGAAACTTCAAGATTTGAGTTGAAGACAACTTGATCAGAGCAAATAACGAGCTACAAATCACTATGACCTCTTATCGAACATATTTGAGACCGTCGAATTCAATGCTCTACTCGTGAAGGGTGCTAATGCCTTATTATGGTAGTAATTTTAACCCAAGGTTTTGTTTAAATATTCTTTTGGTGGTTCAAAGTTTAGAAGTCAACTAACCCTTTAGAGAAAGTTTGAATCAAACCAAATTTTTTATTCAAGAAATTGGGAATATAAGATATTTCATTAGGATATTTTTTGGCAATAATTGTAATGATTTATCATGCCCATTGCCAAACTTTGGCCTCTTATTTATAGGTAAAGACCAAGATAGGTGGTACAAGTGCCACATAAGAAAATAGCAAGACTAGTTATGTAGTGAGTTAGTTTGGCTGATAATAAATCATTAAGCGGGAACTTTGGATAGATTATAGGAGTACACCTCATCAGTCGCATTGGTGAGTCAAATGTCCAAATTCTAGGAATTAAGTAGGCTTTATCTCCTAGGCGACTTGATGAGATTCAGCTTTGTGTGACTCATTGTTTGGGTCAACTTTAAGTTTGTGAGTTAAAAGCAACTCAAACAAGTTCAAGATTAATATAGCTAGAAAAATTTCACTACTCAAGAAAGATGCTCTAATATAAACAAAAGTTAGAAACTTGATTGGTTACTAGGTTTGCAAAATTGACTCGAAGATCGTAAATCGCTAAAAAATTGAATCGAATTTTAGCTCGGATAAAACCATTCGAGCCAAGCTATGGGCGAAATTAAAAGATTGAAATTTATTTCAATCCGTCCTTGGTTCGAATCGGGATTGAAATAAACTCTTATGTATTTACATACTTAACGGCTAAACTTGTAGTTTTAAATGCATCATGCATTGCTCTGTTGGTAAGAGATTTTTTCTTGAGAGGCAAGGATTTGGAACCTCTCTTTTCACAAAAAAAATACATTTTTTATTACTGGGTAGGCCAAGGCGGGTTCGAGCCGGGCTGATATGGCTCACAAGACAAAAATCATATTCGAGCCGGCTCAAAAATCAAATTGATCCACACCACATCGGATCCGAATTTGATCCGGTTAAAAAATTTCGATCCAATGTCGAGCCAGACACCCCTATTTGTTGCTATTGTTTTGTTTGAGCAAAGATAAATTCATTACCATTTCTTCAGAAAAAAAACTGTACTCATTTTGTAAATACAGTGTACATAACTATGAAGCCATAAAAAAATTGATATCCACTAAGTATACTACTTACCCCCAATTTCTATATATTAAAATTTTAATACATTAGAGAAAAAACATTACAAAGAAAACCTTAATGTGATGCCAACTCTGAAATCTCAACAGAACCATGTAAACCAGAAGCCCAAAATATAAATATATGTTGTCGGACCTCTAAACACCAACATAAAATATAGCTATCATTCTTCACCAACTAACTTCCCTCATCCATCTATGTGCATTTTATTTTCTCGATTTATGGATCTTTTGAATAGTTTCTCAATGTCAAAACATACTTTGTTCAAGGTTTACCTCAGTCCAACTTCCTCCTAACCAATCCCTTGAAGAAGTCAAAGCTGCAAGAACAAATGTGAAGCATTTAAAGAATAAGAGATGAAAGTCATAACTATCTTCCAAATTCAAAACTTTAATTTCAAGAACAAAAATCTTACATGTCCAACCCTCAAAGATAATAATTAAGCAAAACATCAGTTTTTTTCTCCTTAAATATGAAAGAGTTGAGGATAAGTAGTAAAAATAGAATAAAATTTACCTATTTCCATCAGGATGGAGCTCAAAATATCTCTGCTCCTCATCCATAGCCAATAAGTATCCTGAAGAAGTCAAACCCTACAAGATGAAACAAATTAAAAAGTTTCAAGCCTCCAAAACTTATCAGTATTATGCTCATCTAATTCATTCCCTAAACTTTATATGAAGTGCTTAGAGTTTATTCATTAAAAATTTCTCCGGAATAAATTATTGATCAGTTTGCACAATCTGCATTCAATTCTGTCTATTTCTAATTTTTTTTTAAAAATAGTATGAAAAAATAAAAATTTTTGTCTGTTTCTAACTCACCTTTATAGTCACCACTACATTTACTATTTGTTCCTCCTGCTTTTCCTCTATGACAACTTTTTGATCACTGCACAAGAAGAAAAATATCTGTTGATATGACTTTCATTGAAGGCATGGAGAAGAGGGAGGAAGCCAGCTTTATTGGAAATCTTCTCTGTTGGGACACTTCAAATCTTGAAATTAATTGTAAAAATGAAAAAAAAAAAAACTGCTTTGATTATCAATGAAACTGTAACGAGCAAAAAAATGTGATCACAAACAACCGCTTGGCACAAGACGGTGATTCTTCGGCTCTGAAATACTATATAAGTGCAGAGAACGAATTTCAATATGGCTGCAGATTTCCTTGGTAAAATAATTAAAAAAAAAGTTGGATGATATTCATTTATTTCATCTTTGTAGGGAAGACACACGAAACCATCGTTATTAGAAGCTCTATTCACTTATGCGTATTCTTATTCATGCCACATTGACCTTAGTAATTAGTAACTTACGAACTGAATAGTAGAACCACGAAGCATAGCTCACCAAATTGCCTTTTTATAAAACTAACCTTTAAGCATCCATAAACTTAATATCACTCCTGAATTGTATCATCATTTTGTCCACTTACTTTTAATTTTAGAAGTTAAATCATTATTTATATTTCAAATATGTCCTATAATAAATCCTAAAAACAAAATATCGCATCTAAATAAAATCAAGTCTTTCGATGAAATTGTCTAACATTTATTAACTTTATATCCATTAAAATTGCATATCATGAATTCAATCCATGTTCTACTTTTATATTTCAAATATGTCCTATAATAAATCCTAAAGACAAAATATCACATCTAAATAAAATCAAGTCTTTCAATGATATTGTCTAACATTTATTAATTTTATATCCATTAAAATTGCATATCATGAATTCAATCTATGTTCTACTTAACCTTGACCTTTCATCTTAAAATTTTCTCAAGGAACTACCTTTCACTTCCATATGAAGAGTTGTCACCAGTCAAAAGCATGCCATTTGCAAACAAAACACAGAATACACCAAAGTACACTTTGTATACTTCTTTGTGAAGCATTTTTATGACCAATATGAAAAAAAACATGATCAAGGTTGAGCCTTGATGTAACTGTGAATATTAAAAACAACAAACTTAATATCGAGTCTTGAAATAACCTTGCCATGATTGGAAGCTTCTTTGTCACTTCACACCTACTTCTCAAAAATAGTTTGTACAAATTGCATGTAATATAGAGCGAAAAGAATAACAGGGAAGTATGGTATCAAATTTCAATAAAAAATGATTTGCTTTAATCTCATTTAGTATTATCCCATCATCATCACTAATCTTATCCCAACTATTTTGGGATACCTCATTGAGTCCTCTACTGATATTCATTCTTGTTTGAACTTTATATCAACTATATTTGAAAGTGGCTTAACAATGTCATTGTCGGGTCCCAAGTCCCAGATGCAAAAAATGAAGGGTTACGTTAGGTAGTCGACAAACAACAAAAAACTTTATAAAAAATATATGACATGAATCTTTTAAATAATTCTGTAAATGTTCGGGTATCTCCTGGAAGCGACACGATGTATTACCTAAATACAGTAAAAAGTGTGCAAGTGTTCTTGCACTGGAGCCTGTGTGTAGTGTTAAATAAACAAGGATTCTCACATTATGAACGGATGTGAACATAAGTTATTCCATAAAACTAATATTAGGATACAAACTCTCATAGATATATTAATGGAGTTAGTAGATATTATAATTCATAGGAAGATAAATATCTTATACATTCGAGAAATTAAATGTGTTTGAGATAATTGTGATTGTATGAAATCTAAGTTCAGAAATTGTCGTAGAAAATTGGGTAAGTAATTCTATTTTGAAAATTTTGTTTGAAAGTGTTTTGTTACAGTCATCTATGGATGAATGTCTGAAATACTTTTGTCCATATTATATAGAAATTATAGATTTTATAGTTATTTGTAATTCTTATATTTAACTATGTTCAATGAAATTATATAAATGCAAAAGGTAAACTCATAATTAAATTATTAAAACTCTAAAGCATTCACATCATAATTTATGTGTGACTATTTGATAATTTGTACTTTTTGATAATTCAAGTACTTTTTGATAATTTGTAAGCTTTGGTTACATTAAATAACACTTTTTTATAAAATTAAGCATATAATATTGAATCACCCATTAAATAAAACATCAGTGATTTTCTCTCGTAACTCAGTCATCTCATCAACACCTCTATCGCTTATGCAAGAGTTGACAATATTAACATCAATATCAATCATTACCCCAATTGATACCCATATACTTCAGAAGGTACTGATTCATTTCATCTACACTTCTAAATTTAACATCAATGTGAATGATTGTGTCTTATGCAATTATGTAGCATCCTTGTTGCAACAACAATTTTAAACTACTTTTTGAAATAATATGTAAGCATATCTCACAAAATAACTCACTTTTTCTTCCAAACTCCAAAAGCCCATTCAATTATATCTCATAATAACGAGTGATGCTTACTAAATTTCTATTTTCATCCCCGCACAATTTAGATCTCTTTTAAAGTTTGTAATGTGATGTTTAGTGTTGCAAAATGACTTGAAAATATTGTTGTAATAGATATTCAACATCCACAAAATAAAATTTTCTTGTTAGAATGTTAACTATTAGTTTTCCTATCAAAAGTTAATATAAAATTTACATCAGTGTCAACCAAACTTAAAGCGACATGGGACAATTATGCAAATAAGATTGTGTAGCAAACTTGAAGATTCAATTATCGTGAGCACTACCCTCCATACAACCATTACAAAAGTACAACATATTAAAATTGCATGTTGTCATTATATAAGTAGGTGAACCACGACGTCCAATGTATGCAACTTTATCATCATTTGACACGTGCATTAATATAAATCTCAGCAATAGCATCGATACAATCTTATATCACATAATAACCTATTCAAATTTTAAAATTCTATAAATTGTTGAAAAAAAAGATTAAAATATACCTTTAAGTGTGACATATATCAGTAATCATATGATGTTTCTTTAAGGATGATTCGAAAGGTAAGATTGGATCTTCACGTTTGATAATTTAAGAAGACAAACTTACTAAAACATTCAAACTAGTTGAAAAATATATATTGATGTTTTCAGATGAGTGTTGAAATATCTTATAAGCTACTCTTATAGACTCGTTATGCGATAAAATGTAAAATCTTATAGCTAATACCTTGAAGTTATTCTAGAAGATTCATGAAGACCATGCCTCATGTGCAGTTCATTTAGAAGATCAATAAAGAAAACTGACTCATAAAAAATATATTATGGAGTTTTATTGGATAACTCTCAAATAATTTTGTTATCCACTTATCCCCTATAAATGTCGATGTAATACAAAGAGAGTGAAAGATATAAGAGTCGTGATACACTTACAGCACGTAAAGATTATAAACCCATCAGATATTATACAAGATGCATTTTAGAATAAAATAGTACAGTATCAAATTTTTATGGTACGCAAAAAATTTAGTGTAGCTTCACAAGATATCACAAGTATAACATCATAACATACGATATTACAAATATAAACATCGATCACTTCATGAGATATTACAAGTACTAACATCATAACACAAGATATCACAAGTATAAACATTATAATATAAGATAACACAGGTACTAGCATTGCAACACAAGATATCACAGGTATAAACATCATAACAAAAGATATCACAAGTATAAACATCACAAGATATCACAAGTAGAATAAAATAACACCGTATCAACTAAAATTACACATCACGAGTATTAACTTCAAAAGTAGTTCAACAAAAAATATCTTCAGAAGAACTAACATCATGAGTAGTTGTTCTATCAAAAAAAACCCATCGTAAGTCAAATGCATTCCACTCTAAACACATATAACTTATATGAACAAGTCATTGTGATTTTTATAGAAGTGCAAGTAATGGATTCTCCTCTCATGTGGCATGAATATGAAAAACTCTCTCTTGACAGGATCTTCAAGTAGCTTTATTAAGAACAAATATAAAGTAATAACTTCATAAATTTCAGTTGTTTGTTCTAATAATTTTATTCCATAAGAAATAAATGCTGATGATTATGTGGTGTTAACCTCAAAACTAATTCTAATATTTGATTTCTTCGATACACGGGGTCAATTTTTTTACTACTAGCCCTTGAGCTTAAAGAATGTGAAGCCTTAACATGATTAGATTCACTATATTCATCTACGTTGTGCAATAATCCTTCAATGAGATCATTTGAGCTCTCTCTACAATCTAGCATATCTTGAGAATGAGTACAAGTATGTTCACCAGTCACTACAGCGCCACTAAACATGAAGTCAAGCTTCTCCTATAGCTAAGAATTGATTCCACAAAACTAAAATTTCCTGAAATTTAGCACAACCTATAATTTACATAATCAAAAGTAAAAATTATGTCCAATAATTCTACTTAAAGAAGAAATAAAATAAAAACATTTTAAAATTTATTTCACTTCTAACTTCTTCCATCAATCTCTTGATGCATCTATAGTGTTTTTAATTGGATCCGAACCAATACCAGACAATCCTCTTTTGAGCTCTTTCCATATTTTTCAGTCATTTTTTAACTTATCACATTTGTTCTTTAATTGAGTCCTATTATATAATCTTCCGGTTCTTTCTTGAAATTCTTTGTATTGTTCAACTAACATTCTTTGTTGAAATGTATTGTTGGTCATTTCCTAATTCAATCTCCTTCAAACAAAATCATTTTTGTTTCTTTTTCTCATATAATGGATGATGTATAGTCTCTTGTGTTGCCCATTTCCAATCGTATCTAACATATTATTTATGATTTCAATTATATGTTGTAGAGCTCAAGAATAGAAAATTACAAACACATAATCAATATGATACTAATTAATATAGATACACAATAATATTCTCTACATCAAAAAGTACATCAAATATGAAATGGCAACAAAAATAGACTCTTTTGATGATCCATGCCGGAGAAACAACAAAAAAGAAATAACATAATAGAAATTCTATAGAATTTAATGTTTGTCCTTTAGTATAATGTGGCGCCATGCATTTATAAAATCATCTTTGTATTCCAAAGCTTGAATTGCTACAAATTTCCAGAAATAGTTGCCAAAAGATAATTAGGTGTTAGACATGTAAATACATATCAATAGGGTAGTATATATGTAATTGCCACAACATTAAGTCATAATGAAAACATTGAACAAATCAGATCAAAATAAAGCAAGCAAAACACTGCCATCATTCAAGATTTCCAAAGAGGAACTACCGTTATCAATTTTTTCATCCAGATCTCTAGAATTTGAAATGTTAAATGCAGTCTAAATAAAGTAACGTGAGATGCATGCTAGCAGAGAAAAGCTGTTGATTGAATTTTGATTTACACATGCATCACACAATTCCTATATTTTTACATATCTAAGACCAAAACTTTGACCTTTATGTTGGAACCAATGATTACAATTCATATATGTCGAGTTTTGACAAGTATGCCGCATACTTTTGTCTGTTATTAGTGGCGAGATTGAGCTTTTTACAATGTCTGCTGAGAAAAGTTTTCCATTTTCTTATATTCCTAATCGGTTATATCAAGCTTTCCTATTAGCAAATTTCAACCATTGTCCATTACTCTCTTTCTTACACACAGAGATACACTCTTCTGAAAAGTGATGGAAGGATCAAATTTTGGAGCATTCAAAGAACAAGGAAGAAATCATGTAGTCTAGGAGAAGAAAATGGAGGCAAGCAAACTAGAAAGGATGACCATGGAGAAAGAGAAAGATCATGTATGTAAATCACAAAATCTTACCTTGAGAGATAGAGGAGACGAGATCGGCCAAGCAAGGTGCAAAAAATGTAGTCTTTTGGCAAGAGCAAATCGAACGAGGTCGGAATGCTACGACCTTTTTCTCATGAAGAGGATATCGCGGCTAGGGGACATGATTGCCTGGGTAGATCAGAAAAAAGAAAAATGTAGAGATAGGATGCGGCCCACCAGGTGTGGTTGTGATGTAATAAAATTTGTGTTGCAGGTTGTATCACATTACACTCGAACGCGGGATTCAATTGTGTGGTATTCTGAATCGGTTCAGAACACATTTCGTAACGTCGAAACAAACACACCATAAAGGGGTTGTAGAAAAAGCAAAGAAGATTGATAACTTAAGTTTTAAATTTTCGTATATATGTAAGAGTCATACTAAAAATGATATAGATAAAAGTTTGAAAAATAATATTGTAAATTTAATATAATTAAAGATAGTATTATAGCTCTAAAGTTTGTTACTGCTAAAGATTCTTAATGTTGTAAGTGCTTTTTATGCTTCTCAATTAGGTACAAAAGAAAATTATTGAAATGACCTAGAAGAATAAATACAAAAAGCATCTCTCAAAGAAAAAAAAATTTATTGGAGGAGATTTAAATGGACATATCAATAGAGTGGTAGAAAATTTTAGAAGCATTCATAATGACTATAGTTTTGGTGGGCCAAATAAAGAAAGTAGAGTCAGATTGAATTTTGTTTTAGCCTATGACTTTATTATTGTTAATACTTTATTTAAAAAAAAATGATCATATTATCACTTATAAGGATGTATCTAATAAAACACAAGTTAATTATTTTCTTTTGAAAAAAATGAATTGTCAAAATTGTAAAGATTGTAAGGTCATTTTAAGTGAAACTTTAAGTATCTAACATTGATTATTAGTTTTGAATTTAAGATGAAAGATTAGAAGATAAAAAATATAATAAAATATTATCATAGGATTAAATGAGGGCACTTAAAAGATAAATAAAAATATATTTGTAAGTAAAATTCTAGGTCGTAAGATTTGGGATGTTTATAAAGAAGCTAACACTATGTGGGATAAAGTAACAAGTACTATTAAGCAAATTACAAAAGATGAGTTTGGGGAATCAAAAAGAAAAACTCTTATGAATAAAAATATTTAGTGGTGGAAGGATAACATGCAACAAAAGATAAAAAATAAGAAGTTATGTTATAAAAATTGATTTAGATGTAAAAGCTTGAAAAATTACAAAAAATATAATGTAGCACGTAAGGAGTCTAAGAGAACAATTTATGATGATAAAAATTCTGTTTTTAATGATCTTTATAATAGATTAGATATTAAAGAGTATAAAAAATATATTTATAAACTACCAAACAAAGAGAAAAAAAAAGTTCAACTTATATTTATTATGGATCAAAAACAAAAAGTATTTGATGAGGTATTTTGATAAACATTTCAGTGAATATTATGAAAATACGATCAACTTCAATGATTTTAAAATCATAAATAATAACTAAGATTTTTTTTTCCATTGTCTTATTAGTAAAACGGAAGCTGAGAAGACTTTAAAGAAAATGAAATGTAGAAAAACAGTATGGCCTAATAGTATTTCAATAGATGTGTGAAAATATTTAGGAAGTTTTTCAATTTCTCAACATCAAAATTTTTTAATATTATTTTAAAAACTAAAAGATGTCTGATGAGTGAAAAAAAGAGTCAATTGGTTCATATTTTAAGAATAATAAAAAGGATGCAAAACAGTGCAAATCATAGAGAAATTAAGTTAATATGTCATACAATAAAAATATGGGAGAAAATAATTGAACATAGGTTTCAACGTGATACAAAAGTTTCTCAAAATAAGTTTAGATCCATGACAGGCAAGTTCACTATGGAAGCTATACATTTATTGAGTGGTTTGATGGAGAAGTACAGAGAAAGTAAAGAGGATCTACAAATGATTTTGTTGATTTAGGAAAAGCTTATGATAAGGTTCGAAGAAAAATACTTTGGAGGGCTCTAGAAAAGAAATGTGTTGATATTGCTTATATTCAAGTCATTAAAAATATTTATGCTGGAGTTGTTACTTGTGTTCCAACACAATGAGAATTGACCAAGTATTTTTCTATTTTAATTGGATTATATCAAGGATCGCCATTAAGGTCATATTTTTTTACTTTAATTATCGATGTTCTTACTGACATTTATAGGAGATATATTGTGTATGGTTTTTCTTGATAATATCCTTCATGTGGATAAGATTACAAAGAGATTTAAGGAAAAAAAATAATTTATTGAGATCAATTTAGAATCTAAAGGCTTTCGTTTGAGTAGATCTAAATTAGAATACAGAGTATAATTTAGTAATAGTGGATCTATTGGCGGGGTTATAATAATTTGTGATCAATTCATTAAAAAGGAGTGAACATTTTAGATATCTCAAGCCTATTGTTCAAAGTGATGGTGTTATCCATTGGGATGTTATTAGTACAGTTCAAGTTGGATGATTGAAGTGAAGAAATGCATCGGGCTTATTATGTGATAGAAAATTACAGCTTAGCCTTGAAGGAAAATTTTATAAGATGGTAGTGATACCTACAATGCTTTATGATGTAGAATATTAGCCTATAAAAGAGATGCATAAAATTAAATCAAGTGCTAATGAGATGAGAATACTCCGTTGGATGAGTGGCTTTAAACTTAGAAAAAAATGCGGAACAAATATATCCAATAAAGGGTCGGAGTGGCTCCAGTGATCGACAAGATGAGAGAGAGTCGACTTAGATGGTTTGGTCACGTTAAACGTTGACCATCTAATGACCCTGTTAGGAGAGTAGCTGTTTTAAATTTGACTTATATTAAGAAAGGTAAAGGTAGACCTAAAAAGACTTGAGCATGTTGTATAAAAAATGGTCTTAAATTATTAGAATTAAATGAAAATATGACAGTTAATAGGACACAATAGAAAAAGGGACTCATGTAGCCGACACACTTATTGGGACAAAGGCTTGTTGTTGTTGTTGTATATTTGCAAGTGGCTTGCTTTTAGCCATATTTAAATCCATCACCATCCTAAATGTTTGAATTTACTACTTTCACTTTGAACTTGCATGGTGAATAGCAAAAATAATATTAAAAAAAATAATAAAAGAAGAACAGGTTATAAAATCACTATGCATAGCTGGACACCAAGATTCAGGTAAACACTTTAACACACTGCGTTTAAAACAAACAAAAAGATGCATCAGGTTTCAAGTAAACAGTTTCTGGAATGTAGCAGTTATTTTAATACATACAAAATTTCATTCTGAAACAACTATGAAGAAATACACCCATGGAATGAAAATGTTACATTAGATACTTATCAAATTCCATTGTACCTATGAAGCCAGGTCCTATAGTATAGCTCCTCAAGAACTTGAAAGCCTGAAAAATTAAGTCAAATTATACATTCTTTTTTTTACATTCCTTAAAAATCAAAGGCATATTGCTGGCCTTTATATAGTATATGATTTTGCATTTCTAGTGCTTCAACTTTTTAAACTATCAAAACACAAGGAGAATACTCAAAAACAAGAACCAACAACGCTTCAAGCAAGGGCATAATTAGCATAGCAGCAATTTGGAAAATAAAAGAAAGACCGAAAGCCCATGCTAGTTCATGTCATTTAACTTCAAAACATTAGAGACAAAAAAAATAGAAAATTCAGAAGTGAGGACATGATATTTCTTAATCAAGAACAAAAATTGCATATCATAATAAGAAATTCCTGACTTAACTTCACCATTGAACACACAAAGTATCATTAAATAGTTCAAAATAATGATTTAGACATGACAAAAGCATGAGGTCTATGAGCAACAGGAATGACTACTTGATTAGAAAAATAAATATGAAACATCTTTTCTTTATTTTATGTGTGACTTCAAATCTCATCATAGTATCAAGCAAAAACCATCATACTTATGGAATTATTGGAGTAGGACTCATTCACCATAACATAAAATATAAGACACAAAATCAACAAGAAACAGATCTCAAGGTTGGATCCATGCTTGCAAAATCAATGATATGTAAAGGGCATAATAATAGAATTGTTAGTTCATAACCTTGATGCAAGAAAGCTTCAAAAAGCTTTTCAAAATTATTGAAAAAAGCTGCAAGTATATCCTCCCTGGCAAGTTGATGGGAAACAGCAGTCATCTCTTGGAGTGTAGCATTTAAGGATGTTGTTGGTTTATCATTATCCAAGTTTAATCCAACACCTGCAGAAATTAAAATCATAAATATCTTTATCACAAGCCAAAATACCAATTTTGACAGCCATATCACATTCAACTAGGCATTTACGAAAAAGTACTATGGTTAAAGTTCTGAACTTTTAATATTACAAATAATTAACAGCGATTAGCACACAGGCAGCTAAGAAAAGGCTCATTACCAGCACTAACTTTGAACTTATTCGATGAATAAGTGGAGGAGCAAAGAATACCACCCACTTTAAGGCCATTTAGATAAAGATCATTAGGCCACTTTATTCTTACATCAATTTGAGGTAGTCCCTGGAAATGAATGATACCTTTTGGCTTTAGATGATGGCATTATAAGCTTTATCAAAGAGTAATTCAAAATCAAGCAACTTCCTATCATTCCAAAGAGATAAACAATCACAAAAAAAGAAGTAGAGCCTACTTTAGCTTGACAGGACTGTTTAATCGCCTCAGTTACTGCTAGAGAGACAATATACTGCAGAAGAGGCACTTTACGCCCATCTTCCATCTGTAAAGTGAAAGAGAACATAAGGCAGCCAGCTGGAGATTCCCACACATTCTTTGACCGTCCTTTAACAAGAAACAAACAAGAACAACTCAGAAAAAATTGCATCAGATGGTGGCCCGGGGTTAGGCATTTCCTCCCCCACAATTTTCAGAGAAAAAGTAGCTAATGCTAAAAAAAGTTCAATCTGAACCTCTGCCTTTGTACTGGACATCACTAATACAAGCTGTGCCTACTGGAAAGTCACAGAAATTCCTGGGAAATAACCCATCAATTAAAATTCAACGTGATTAAGGAAAGGGTAAATGGAAGCGAGGGGTTCCTCACTTAGAAACAACATCGTGGGTGGAAGGGAGTCGTGGGGACCAAATTAGAAAACGTCCGAAGCTGTTCGTATCAAGTGCGTCCATGTAGCGCTCGGCACGGAAGGTGGGAGGATCGATTGAGTCTATTTCGGACTGGAGAAGAACCCTAATTTCTTCTTGACCATCGTCTTCGTCGAAGAGCTTAAGGGTCTCCCTCTTGGCCTGTGTTGATCGGGCAATTTGGTCTTCATGAGGAGATTTTGCAAAGAGGACGAGGATGGTGACAGGGTGGCGGTCTTCCATGATGGAACAGTTGCTTAAAGATGAAGAGGTGAAAGAAAAACGTGGTTGGCGGCGGAAGATAAATATTGCGGCAGAGACGGCGGCTGCAGCTGCAGTGATGGTGGCGACGGAAGGGGACGGAAAGTTGCGGATGTCGAGCGGCATGCTTCAATCTCTATTGCCGTAGAAAAATTCAGAAAATCCTCGAATTTCAAGATAAATAATTAGGGGAATATATTGTTAGATTATTGAGAAGTTTTTGTGATCTCAGTGAGCTTAATATCCTATTAACCTCCTAATAACCTCAATAACTAAATTATTGGAAGGTTACTTGGGTAATACGCACGCAAAAGATGTACGTAAAACGGGCACATTGCCGTCACCAGCTATTGTCAAATTTGAAATATAATATATATATATATATATATATATATATATGCATGTAATAAAATAATAAAAAACTATATTTTAATGTATGATTTTGCAAGACTTGATATTATTTTGAGTGTTATTGTGATGGTTTAAGAGTTATTTCAAGTTGGACCGTGTTATTATGATGTTATTTGATTGGTATTACTGCAACTCTGTGATTATATTTGACTAATGTTATCTTAGTGTTGTTGTAGCGTTATTGATGTGTTATTGCGATATTATTATGACGTTATGAAAAAAATCAAATAATTTTGTAATACTAATTCCATAAACACCTCAATAACGTCAAAATAATATCATAATAACACCATAATAACACATATCAAAACATATAGTGTTATTATGGTGTTATTGTAGTATTCTTTTGGTGTTATTATGGCGTTCCGCGATAAATCCTAATAACACTGCAATAACACTATAATATCATTGAAATAACACCAATCGAATAACATCACAGAACCGCCACAATACCACTCAAATAACACCTCAAAAAACATTTGAAAATCTGGCTTCATCACTTAATATTAGTAGGTTTTTTACATGATTTAGAGATTTGGGTGTTATATTGGTAAATATAAAGATGTAGGTGCTCCATATGTAGATATGTAAGAATTAATTATGTGGTTTTTATGTCCCGTATATCTTCATTTTGGGCATTTACATATATACCACCCAATTCTTACATTTACATATCTACTACCTATACTTTAATTTTTATATTTATATTACCAAAAAAATTTATCACATAAAAAAATACCATCATTTTAATTTTTAAAAATTGAAATAAACATTTTCATCCACAGGGACGATGTCGTGTATAAAAAAATTGGTGTTTAGATGTTAGATATGTAAATTCATAAGAATTGAGTGCTATGTTTGTAAATCTTTCTTTTTTTGATTGAATAACACTACCGTCGTCCCAATATCACTCAAATAACATAATAATAATATCTAATAACACCATAATAATAAAACAATAACACTGAAATAACAATAGTTGTATACCACCACAGCCGCCGCAATACCACTCAAATTACATAATAGTAATACCACAATAACACCTCAAAAATACCAAAATAATATTGCAATAATATCATAATAACATCATATGTTATGGTATTTATGTTATGTATATTTTCATTATGGGCATTTAAATACATACCACCCAAATATTGTATTTACGTCTAGCACCTAACTTTAATTTTTAAATTTATGTCACCAAAAATTTTTATATTACATTAAAAAAACCATCATTTTAATTTTTAAGACTTTAAATAAACATTTGCATCCATAGGGTCGACGACGTGTATGTGTTAGATATGTCAATACATAAGAATTGAGTGGTATGCATCAAAATCTTCATTTCATTTTTGGATAACTAACACAGCCTAACTTGCAGTAACACCTAAACTACCGCAATAGTGCTCAAATAACACCACAATAATATCGTAATAATATCTCAATAACATCACAATAACATCGCAATAACACTTCAATAATGTCACAAGAACATTGCAATAATATCTCAATAACGCCACAATAATAGAACAATAACACATCAATAACGTTACAATAATACATTAATAACACCTCAATAACACCACAATAACAACGTAATAACACCTCAATAACAACACATAAATACCATAATAACACCAAAATAACTCAATAACACCACAATAACATCACAATAAAATCTCAATAACGTCACAAAAACATCGCAATAACACTTCAATAACACTACAAGAATACCGTAATAACACTTCAATAACATCACAATAACACTGAAATAATATTAGCCGAATATCACCACAGAGCCGTCACAATCTCAATCAAGTAACACCATAATAACACATCAATAACACGACCCAACTTGCAATAACACCTAAATCACTGCAATACCACTCAAATAACGTCGGGTCGGGTCGGGTCATGCATTAAAATATAGAGCTTTTCATTTATTTATTCAGTGGGTTTGCCGCTTACACGTGATTAAATTTCATTGGAGTTCGGACACTGTTAGCATAACTGCGTCTGAACTCCTGATGTAATATTTTCTCTGAAGTTGGATGGATGCATTATTTTATGGGTTCAGATTATGCGTCCGGACTCTTGAAATATTAGCATACTTATCTACACATCAAAATCCCCCAAACTTGAAGATAACTTGTCCCCAAGTAACATTAAAGCTTAAATACCAATTTAACTAACTTATAAAAGAGGGTTTCATAAAAAAATTATTAACAACCATGCCTTAAAAGCTTAAATACCAATTTAATTAACTTATAAAAGTGAGTTTCATAAAAAAATATTAACGATCATGCCTTAAAAGATTCATAGCGATGAAAATATAACTCATTAACAAATAAGTTTAGACTAAATGTATAAGAAATCTTGCATCCAACCAAGAAAATATGAATTTATATTCACTTTGAAAAGAAAACAATAAATGCTATATAGGATACACTAGATGGTAAATAAATAGAACTTAAGCACTCTTTAAATAGTTTACTAATACTTCTTAAACATTATTAAACGAAGGAATGTAGTGGAGTTGAAAATTTAAAAAGAATCTAGTGAAACCAATTTTTGATATGACTTCTCCTCATTATATATATATATTATAATACTCTTTTTTATTACTGAGGTTGAATATATCCTTAACATAACTTTATGAGGATTAATATATCTAGATAGATCATGTAATAATTTTAAATTTTATTATCATCTCTTTAAATAAGCACTCTACATTCCTTTTCCTTTTAATTTTAAAAAAGTTTAAAAAATATTAGATGAAAATATAATTTTAAGGAGGCTCAACTCTTATTAAGTATATATCTAAGTATATCTAATTTAACAAATATATGATACTTTTTTAAAATAAATATTTTAATCTGTTTCCTATATGTTGAATTGCAAAAGTTACTTAACACTAGTCTAACTTAATTTTCATGAAATTTAAATAAGTTAACTATGTTTCTCCTTTCTTATGAGTATGATAGTTCTAAATTCACCCCCCTCTTTCCTCATCCCCCCCCCCCCCCCCCACACGTAATTTCAAACATTTTAAGCAATTTACAACATGAATTTAAATGGGAAGATAAAAGTAAAAAACTACTTCCTACCACATGTGTATATCAACAAGATCAACATATATCATCAGAAATGAACATGTATATAATAGAAAGTAAATCTGAACTAAACAAGATATTGAATACAACTAGCACAAAAAAGTATGAATATTACAACAAGAATATAAATTCAGTTCCATGATATGGTACATACTGGTCCAATAAAAATACAAAATAGTAGCAGCAATAGTGAATAAAAATAACATCCTATACATCCACATAAAAGAAAATAACACTACTCATTCTCATCGTCCTCTTCATCTTCATCATCTTCTTGTTCTTCATCAACATTCTCATCTTCCTCCTCAGAGTCCTCCTCCATCGGTTGGGTATGCTCATAGGACAGATAGGGAGAATACACAGAGGTTTGTCTCCTCCAATCCACTGATTCCTCCTGTACATTGCTAGCCGGGCGACCTGAAAACTAGCAAACTGATCTCATTGGCTTTTGTTCTACCTCTCCATTTGTGACATATGGTCTAGTAGATCATAAAGTATAGTCTAGATAATAAAAATACCATCATCCTCTAGCTTACCAAATCTTTGTGTCATCGAAGCTTAACTCGCGGAAGGACGCGGCTGGGAATAGGAAGTAGAGGGAATAGAAGAAGAGGGCTGAGATGAACTAGCCCCACGCCCAAATACAGTGTGTTTATCATATATAATGCATGTTGTTTTTGGAGATAGGCTTCAAAGGCTAAAGCTTCTCCTCCCAACTCCCAATAGACACACCTAAATTTTGGCATAACAAGAAGATGATAGATGGGTGCCCCAAACTAATAATAGATCCACCCTTGTGGTATTAACTATAAAATGTTGAATGAGGTAAATTTTCCAAGCTCCCTACCATCAGTCAAAAATCTGAAAATTTCATTTAAATCAAAATCTATAGGAACGAAAATGGAGCAAAACTCTTAGAGACATCTCTCAACAAAAATAATGCATTGATATAAGAAGGAGAGATGTCAAACTGCTTCTTTCTTACAATGGCTGAATCATCAAAAGCATTAGGAAGATTGGCATAGAGCTCTGTCACCACTGAAATCACTACTACAGAGGTGTTATAACAAAAATTCTCTCAACACTGACTCACAAGCATACTTTTAATGACACCCTCTAGGATGATTAATCCATGTTGCGCAATCAACTTCTTTTAATGCCAAGAAGTCATTGTAATGCTCATCAGCTTTGGAGCTTATAAATTTTTTCTTGTCAAAAGAATATTTTGATTTGTCACCCTTAGCTTTAGGAGTCATTGAGAAGTATCAAAGATAAAAATCACAGAGAACAAGGATTAAAAATAATGTGGATGTAATCAAGATGCAAATCGGGAGTTAAATAAAATTTTCCTAAAAATCTTCAACCCAAGTTCTCTCCAACAAAAATTCAAAAATCTAATATGAAAATCAAAGGAGAAGCTTGAAGGAGTGAAATTTACCTTTTAGGATAGATTTCTGCTCACTAGAACCACTTGAAGTAAGAGAAATTGGAAGAAAATGAAGAGCAATATTTTTAGCCTCTCGGTCGCCTAAAAAGAAAAGGAGAAGAAAATACGCGAAATGGGGTGAGCTAAGCTGATTTTTGTCTTAATAGCCAAAACCACCAGGGAGGCACCTTGGCACCACAATAGTAGTGCTTAGGTGTTGCTTGCTCATAGTGGCACTTAGGCCCCTAAGTGGACGGCGCCTTGGCGCCCATACCCAAATTGGTCATGGTTACTTGATTTACAATATTCTTCCTTTCTAACTCTTTAATCACACATAATATGTATATTAACAATAGCCTATAAATAAGGTAAATAAAGTCACTCATCCTCC